GGTACATAAGGAACTCCGCAGTGCGCGCGGAGTCAGTCTCGCCCCAGTGTTTGACCCTGCTGTTACGCCGCTATCGACGCCTGCGACGATCTAGTGTAATCTTCTGTTTCCTTTTTGTTTTATCGCTCTTGTGCCGACCCACGAGCCACAGACGACAAGAAGCTGCCGGTCCTCATGCGCGAGGTGAGATACGACATCTTTGGAGGCCTTGTCCGCAACCCGCCGGTAACCGTCGAAGCCTTCGTCACTGAGGAAACTAACATCAAGCGCGCCCTCCAAGTGTGCGCTTCCCACTACCAGCGATACCCAGGCTTCGCTGCATCCACGCTGCTTAGCGGCGAAAACGCTCCTGGTACGCCGGACATCCGTGAAATTATCCGGAATGTCGACCGGGAGAAACTGCGAAGGTTGCTGCCAACCGCTAGTCGTACGTCAACCTTCTTCATCGCCGACGCTGTCCACAAAGAAGTGCATCGGGCACACCAACCAGAGGTTCCCGTCCCCGTGGTGTCGAAAGAGGCGCCGAAGGTGAGCCACTCCGCCGCGGCCTGACGACCACCGCGAGCTCCCCGGCTCCCCGTGAAGCCTCAGCGCCTCCCCCCCCCCCCCCCTCTCCCCGAAGAGACGCCGCAGTGCCGCCGTATCCTCAGCGTCAGGAAGAAAAAGCCCTCTGCGTCCACCCGGAATGACCCTCGCCCAGAAAGACCGACGTACGGCGAACGGCCGACTGACGCCCGCTCTGCCGCCATTGCGGGGAAACCGATCACATCTACCGTATGCCCCACCGTCGACGTGGGCTTGCGTGGGTTCCACCCGAACGACCCACGCCCGAGGTACGGCGAACGCCCTTGCGACATCGAGGAGTGCCTCCGACGCTCGCCCTCCTCAGCGCCGTGTCTCCGCCGTGAATCCCGCTCCCCATCGACATGACGCTCAGCGTCCCCAGCACCACGAACCCGTCGAGAGAGCCTGTCTCCCATGTGTCGCCGGGAAAACTAAGTGCGGCAACGCCTGGAAGTGATGTTGCCGAAGACCTCCACGTAAAGAGCCTTCTAGAACGCCGGAGCGCTCCCACTCTCCCCACACCACGCATCGCAACCACGCCCTGCAACGGTGCCCGAAAACCTAAACGATGTTATCGACGGCCACGGCGCATCAGCACACGTGGACACCGGAGCAGACTACTCAGTCTTGAGTGGGAGGCTCTCTCGCCGCCTTCGAAAAGTCACGCGCCGTGGGATGGACCTCAAATACGAACCACCGGAGGACACCTCCTTACACCAGTCGGGAGATGCACTTCTCGCGTCGGGATCCACGGTGAGACGTGCCCTGTGAAGTTCGTCGTTCTTGAAGACTGTGGGAGGAACGTTATCATCGGAACTTATTTTCTCTACGAGTATGGCGCCGTAAGTGATCTCGAGGTAAACCAGTTGAAGCTGCGAAAACCTCTTCTGCCGCCGGTGGAGACCAATACGACGTCAACCGCGATCCGAGTTAGTGCCGACCATGTCAACCTGCCGCTGAGGTCTAGTGTTTTCGTCACCGTCATAACTGCCGTAGCCATGCACGGTGAAGCTCTTCTGGAAGGCAGCGTCCTACTGCTCCTTGAAAAAGGTGGCGTCGCACGAGGCGTAACAGATCTCCAAGAAGGACGTATAACATTTCTCGTGACGAACTTTCAAGAGGAGCCGCAACACCTAACGAAGGGTACCATCGTGGGCCACGTCGAAGAGCTTCAGGCGCCAACCGTGGTCACCGCAGTCCCTGAGGAAACTTCATCGTCACAGCAGAAGAGTACGTCGCCGCCGCAGCTAGACATCGACCCAGAGCTCCCAGATCCAAAGCGCCGGCAACTGGTTGATCTCCTCGCTGAATACAGTGCCACACTGTTTTGCCACGTCGTCGAAAGTTTGTCAAACACCATTGGTGAAACATCAAAATGTTTCCGACGACGACGCTCCCTCTGTCCCCTAGTCGCGGTACCGACTCTCCTTAAAGGAAAGGAAGTGATTCAAGATCAGGTGCAGGAAATGCTCGACGACGACATCACTCAACTTTCAAGAAGTCCTTCGGCGTTTCCATTTGTCCTTCTAAAGAAGAAGGACAGAACCCTGAGGGTCTGCGTGGACTATCGTCGACTGAACGCTGTAACTAAGAAGGACGGCTATCCGCTCCCCTGCATCGACGATACTTTACACCAGGGGTGGCCAGGTTGACCCGGCCTATGAGCCGCAAACAAAACCAAGAAACTTGTAAGAGCCGCGGGGGGGGAGAGAAGATGGGGAAGATCCGTTATCTAAAGGGGACAAGTATCACCGGCCAGTGACAAAGGCCGCGAGACTGAACATTTCCTCGACCACAAGCCAAACTGCATGCATGGTTTGACAGTCCCTGTCCTTGATGCCTTGCCCCCTAGTGTCCGGCCAACTCCCTCGAACAATGAAAGAAACAGAATCTGTGGAAACAAACCAGTGAAAAGCGGTTTGACTCTACATATGGGGGCACAAGGCTGCCGAACCGCAAGCTGTTCTTTATTCTGAAATCCTTGGGCGGAAGGGCAGGGGGGGGGGGGGGGGGGTCGCCTTGAGGGATCCGCGAGCCGCACTTGGACCAGCAAAGAGCCGCATGCGGCTCGCGAGCCGCGGTTTGGCCACCCCTGCTTTAGACCGACTGCGCCACCCCCGATATTTTTCGTCGATGGACATGAAGAGTGGCTACTGGCAGACTGAAGTCGACGAACGCGACCGCGAGAAAACTGCCTTCGTCACTCGCGACAGACTGTACGAGTTCAAAATGATGCCGTTCGAACTTCGTACAGCACCAGCCACCTTCCAGCGTGTCATGAACACCGTGCTGGCAGGTCTGAATGGCAGAACTGCCTTGTCTACTTGGACGATGTCGAGGTATTTTCAGGGGATTTTGACGAACTCTTGAGTCGACTTCCAGCTGCACTTCAAGCCATCAAAACCGCCGGCCTGTAACTCAAGCCAACAAAGCGTCGGTTCGCCTATAGGGAACTAAACTTCCTTGGCCACGTCGTCAACAACGAAGGTGTTCTCCCTGACCCGGAGACGACCCGCGCCGTGGCTGCATTTATGCCGCCGTCTGAAAAGAAGGCCGTGAAAAGATTTCTCGGACTCGGTGCCTACTACAGACGGTTTGTTCGAGGTTTCGCCAAGCTGTCCGCGCTGCTGACACACCTCGCTAAGGACGCCGTAAAGTTTGAGTTGACAGAAGAACATAAGCGGTCATTTGATAAACTCAAACGAAGATTCCAGACTCTCCCGATTCTTGGCCATTTCTACCAATTCGCTGAAGCAGAGATCCACACGGACGCCAGTAACATCGGACTTGGAGCGGTGCTAGTCCAAAAGCAGGACAGGGAAGAGCGAATTATCGCATACGCAAGTCCGACGCTGTCTAAGGCGGAGAGGAACTACTCAACGATTGAAAAGGAGTGCCTCACTGTTGTCTGGGAAATAACAAAGTAGCGCCCATATTTGTATGGAAGTCCTTTTCGCGTGGTCACAGACCACCACTCGCTCTGCTGGCTCGGGAATCTGAAGGAGCCCTTCGGTTGCCTCGCCCGGTGATGCCTACGACCGCAGAAGTTTAACATGACCGTGGTGTAGAAGTTCGGTCAGAAGCACAATGACGGCGACTGCCTGCCAAGGGCCCCTGTCGAGGCCGATCCTGCCTGCACCAAAGACGACGACGATGAGTGTTTACTCAGCGCTCTGGGTGTCAGCGACATGGCAGCACTCTAACGAGATGACCCTGAGCTGCGAGCACTCATCGAGCACCTAGGGGGACAAGGATGCACTGTTCCCCGCAATTTCGCACAAACACTGCCAACCTTCTCCATCCAACAAGGTGTGCTCTATAAGAAGAACTTCAGCGACAACAACACGGCGTGGTTGTTGTCGCTGAAGTCTTTCAGTCTACGAGCGTAAATATTTCCAGCCTGCCATGACGACCCGACGGCGGGACACCTTGGCTACAGCAGGACTCTTGCCACGATACGCAAAAAGTACTACTGGCCCAAGCTTGCAAAGACAGTTTACCACTACACCGAGTGTCAGCGACGGAACAAACCACCGACGAGACCGGCAGAACTTCTTCAGCCTATTGCGCCGCCATCTGCCCCATTCTAGCAAATCGGAATGGATTTACTTGGACCATTCCGACCATCGACGCAAGGAAAGCGATAGATAACCATCGCAATTGATTATCTCACACGGTACGCCGAGACGAAAGCCCTTCCATCAGGTACGGCTCTTGAAGTCGCCAAGTTTTTCATCAAGTCGATTGTCCTCCGGCACGGCGCCCCCGAAGTCCTCATTACAGACCGTGGATCATCGTTCATAGCTCAGCTGACGCAAGAAATTATTAACGTTTAGTTTCTTCAGTTATTTGCTGCCTCATGATTTGTCATTCGTGACTATATATGTTTATGCTCGCTGTTAATAAGGTTGTCAAGAGTTACAGTTAATTATTCGACTTACCGTGATAACTAGCCCCCTATATTAAATCCGCCTTGCCTTATAACCAACCTGCCCATAACTGATTTAAGTTGATTTTACGGCTTGTTTTTTTGTGTAGAAAACTTTTAAGGCCTAAAACACACCCTCTATAGCGCAGCATTGCCCTCCCAACAGTAAAAACAAGAATCAAAATTACATACCTGAAGTTATGATATCTCCTCCTAAACAGATGGTGAAGGAACGCCAGTCCCAACATGCACAGGTACATCCTTAATCTAAAAAAAATATATATTTCAATTTTCAGTAAGTTTATTCATATTAGTACAGGCTTGGAGCTTCTGAAGTACATTCCCGTATCCTAAAATTATTAAATTAGTGTACAATCGGAACTTCCAGCAAACGTCAATCACTGCTGACCACCCTCCCGTAAAAGGGGCATCTTTTAAGCACCACACAGGAGAATGCTAGTTTGGTTGAGCAATCCAGGACTCTTTCGCATCTTGCGAAACTCTAGAACATTCTAACAAGACGACGATCAAAACAAACACTTTTCTTCTCCAGGCATCGCAACATCGATAAATATATGTACATGCGATAGCTATGGAGATCAATGTACGCTGCGTACGTTATCAGTCACACACAAAAAACAATACGTCTTCTTATTACAGAAACGATCTCATACATACAGGCACATCCAAGCAAAATTATATTTCACAAAAAAAGAGTTTATAGAAATGACTCGTCTAGAGAAATCTCAGGGGTTTAGGAAGCTAATATGCGACCTGTTCAAGTAGATTGTTCATTGCTCTCGGCACAGTCACGAGACCATAAAGGTTCACTAATCAAGAAACTGGGTCAAAGCAGTACATCAAACGTCGTCGCCAGCCTCAAACCTCCCGCTTACCTCCTCCGCTTACAGAGGATTCGAAGAAACGCCTTGCGGAAATCATTATTAAACACGGTGTAGATGACTGGATTGAGGGCCGAATTGACGTAGCCCAGCCAGGTGATGAAGTTGACCGTTTTGGTCGAGATGTAGCAGTTCGCACAAAACGGCAGAATCACGTACATGAGGAAGAACGGGAGCCAGCACAGCACGAAGACACCCATCACAATGCCCAAGACCCTGGCGGCTCGTCGTTCCTTGGAGAGCGAGATGCGCTGACGTTCCTCCATGTATTGCTTGACGTTGGGCACGGACCTCCCACCATTCAGCTGAGGCTTGGGCTCCAAAGGTTCTTCCACTTTTACGGCCGTCACACTATCCATGTCCGGATCTATGGGGCTCTGCTCCGTTTGAGGGGAGTCAGCTGAGGAGTTTTCGTGGATGGCAGGCTGCGGTATCTGCACGGTCGCCTTGACCTGGAGGGTGGCAGCAACAGCCATGGCTCGTTTTCTTAGCCTCCGTCTGGTCGCCAGGAATATCTTGAAGTATACGATGGTCATGATGAACATTGGGGCGAAGAAGGAGCCAGTGGCAGAGTAGAGCACGTAGCCGCGTTCCTCCGTGAGCTGGCACGGAGAAGTCTCGTCAAACTCTTCGGGCCAGTCATTCCAGCCAATGAGAGGTGGCACTGAGATGAGAGCGCTGATGGCCCACACCAGGACAATGCTGAGTAGGACTCGACGAAGAGTTCTCTTCTGGGCGTAGTTGATGGGATCGTGGATGGCCCAGTAGCGGTCCAACGCAATGGCGCAGAGGTTGAGGATGGACGCCGTGCAGCACAAGACATCGCAGGTGAGCCAGAGCTTGCAAGTGTGCAGACCGAAGACCCAGCGACCCAGTATCGAGTAGGCAACGTTGAGCGGCATTACAAGGAGCGCCACAGCAATGTCGGCCACGGCGAGTGACACGATAAACATGTTCTGAACGCTTCTGAGCGGTCTGTAGGTAAAGATCGCGAGCACCACGAGCACATTGCCGAACACGGTTCCGGCAACGATGGCCGACAGTACCACGACGGTGACAATGGCCTCTGGGAGGGAGACGGCGGTTGAGATACCGGAGTTCAGTGTGACGTCGAGGGTTTCGGTGGCCAGGGATGTTAAGTTGGTCGAGTTTAGAAGGTCGGGGTACGGGTCCAAGAGGGTGAGGTTAGGCATGCTAACACCCAATTTGAGGAACGTGGACACCGCGTTGCCCACTGATGACGACAGTAGACCGGGCAAGGCTGTCATGACTTTTCGTGGTGGTCTTGGGCGTCACAAAACGCCGCGTCTTGCTTGTTATTTCTGGGGCACGGAACGGTCTTTAGTCTGTAAAGAAGCGAAGCAATTGTGTGAAAAGACAGTAATTACTGGCGTGCACAGTTATCACCTTGCAAAATATGTACATTTTTATTTAGGTATGTTACTAAACTAGAGTGCGGTGCGGATAGGAAAATAAGCATACTCTTTGCAAGAGCAGCCAGTGAGTTTTCAGTTAGATATGTAATGCAAACGTAGCCTAGCTATGCATAAATTAAACGAAAGGGAAAACATTCTTTTACTTCAATATTCATCTGGATCTTTACGATTGTGGCCGGATGAGTAAGAAGATGCAAATGCGGGAAATTTCTTTATTTACTGTTTTGCTATATTTTAGCACTTTTTCGCTTAGCTGTGATTATAATATATACGTATTGGGAGACATGTAATGCATCCGTAAAAAAAAATATTTCAGTTCCATTTTCTTCATTTTCGTAAGAAACTAAATGCGAAACTATTACAAACAGTATCGTCTCGGGAGTTGTCCAGATGGAAAAGGTAAGATAACAAAAAGCGCAAAGCGCCCAAAGAACACCGCCCCACCCCCAAGTTGGATCGTTGCGTCGGACTGCTTTTGTGAGATAAACAACCATCAAAAACCACGAAGTGCGTAGCTACAAGTGAAACACGGTATAGTCATCTTTCAAATATATATTAAAAAAAATTGAATAGTTTTCTTGGAAACAGTTACACAGACCCACGACCCGTAACAGCTTTCAAAAAAGGAACAGGCGATCAGCTTTTAAACTTTCCCCTGGCTGACCCGTTGCTGCAGTTTATCCACACAAAAAAACTGCGGACACTAGTCGCGCGCCCTTCTAATGTAGCCAGACGCGTGACTAGATCAAACATCTATCTGACAGAAGAGGATTTGGACGCGGATGGAAACGCTCCAATCTCGACACGAATCAACAGCGTGAAGGTTTTTGTTTTCGCTGAAACTTGCTTTTCAAGACAAAGTTCATGCTTCCTTTTAAATACTTCGAATAATAAGAAAAAATCTGTACGAGTGCAAGGACGCCAGGAATCTTCTCCCCCAAAAAATACAAATATTACGAGAAAGGCAAATTTTGTTTTTCTTCGTCTCTCAAGGTTTTGAAGAGAATGGATATCTTGGATGGTGTATGCGCATCTTAAACTGCCAAAAACCAGTCGGTTTTTTTTTCTTTTCTTATTGTGACAGATTTTTTGTTATTTCAGAAGCGTATGTTCGCCGCTATAATGTATTCAAGGATTAAATATTCAAAGTTTAAATCTTCGGTGTTGTGTTTTTTTCTGTCGGCAAGGGGGTACCCCAGCCGCTCACGAAATACTTGTAGCGAAGCACCATTACTGTTGCGCGGCATGTCCCGTTAGACTCATGATTAGTCGCGTGAATTTGATTGTATTAGTGATAGTAATAATGATAAATGTTGTCGAAATGTGGATACAAACCTCAATAAACTTTCACGAATTGTGATGCGAACGTGTTAAAATGTATCTCTTATTTTTTCACCTTTTTTGCTTCAGTTACTGAGAGTGAAATGAAACATTTCGTAATCTTACAACAATGTCAGAATAACCGAAACGAATCGTAGATAGGTAAAACAAATTCATGACAAATTCGTTTAATCCCAAGGTTGAGCAGCTTACGCTTGCTTTTATATGTAAATTCCAGTGTGTCGAACCGAAAAAAATACGGGTTCGGTTACGGTTCAGGTTCAGATAAATTTATTTTGTTCCGGTTCAGTTCCGGTTCGATTAATTCGATTCGCGAACCGGTTCACGAACCGGTTCGGAAATTATAAATGACAAATTGCAACATCAAAATAAATTACAGATAAAGCATCTGAAATCAGCACATACGAAACGGGATACATCGTAGTGTAAAGCTCAGGGATTTCTACCAGGAATGGTTTCTTTATGTGCACTCAAAGGTTACCTCACCGACGTTTACGCATTCGGACTTCATGTAATTGGGTCCGACGCAGTAGCTGTAAAATCCGCGACCTCTTTACAAACGCACTTACAAGTAGAACTCGATACAATAGTAAGGGTGCAGGCGAGCTGGTGGATGTTAACCATGTTGAATATACCTGAGACTGGGGTAGAAAAAACATAAAAGTCGAAGAAACAGAACGGGACAGGACGATGTCTCAAGACGTCGTCCTGTCCCGTTCTGTTTCTTCGAGTTTTATGTTTTTTCTACCCCAGTCTCAGGTATATTCAACATGGTTAAGTAGAACTCGCTAACTATCCCGCCACCTCGGCGTGTAAGCAATTGAAGGAATAGTGGGGAGAAAATACAGCTTTCTTTATTTGAACTAGCCTTCGGTAACTCAAATTAGACCCTTAAAGAAGTTTTCATTAAACAAGATACGGAATATGAAAAACACTTCACCGAACGCAACGCCAGACGGACGTAATAGGATAAATATTAAAATAGAAGAGTTCGCTGTCTCACAAATATGTTAGCTTCTAAGTGCCTATACGAAACCGGATACATTATTATCAAACTCCACAGCCTTTTCTTTTCTCATTCCGATGGAAGCAAGCTTCAAGAACTCGCGCGTTCTAGAAACGTGTTATGAAATGAGCACACAGCAACATTTAGGATTTACGAGATTGTAAAAAAATAAAAATCCCGCGACGCGATTTTTTTTTTTGTTTTTTGCACAGCCTTCTAATTCTTTTTTTTTTTTTTTTCGTGCAAGCCGCGACCAGCGCAATACTGGTTCCTATGTCAAGATTCATGGATGCAGCGTTTGTCAAGATTCATGAATGCAGCGTTTGTATTCCTAAGACTGAGTGGAGAAGAAAAATATGTAAGCGAGGTGTGTGTCAGTTGACGGCACTTAAAGAACAAATGGCATTGATAGCACATTCATTGTCAACAGCGCGTGGCCGAACCGTTTTGACATGAGCCGGTAGCCGTTATTTTTTTCCGGTTCAGTTCCGGTTCGGGTTCATCGCGATAACAATATAACGGTTCGGGTTCGGGTTCAGTTCCGGAAAAAATACCGGTTCGGTTCCGGTTTTCGGTTCGGTTCGGTTCCGGTTCGACACCCTGGTAAATTCTAAAATATCTGACGTACCCACTACTCTACGAGACACTTGAGGCGGCATAAGCTCACACACTTCTGAAAGAGAGAAAAAAAAAGTGCGTCGGGAAAAAAAACACAAAAAGGAAAAACAGGTAAACGACAAATTTTGATCAATCAAAAACAAGTAATAATATTACAAGCTTGCAATGGGCGAATAAGGACGAGTTGTGAAAAGAGAAATGCGACGGATGAACGAGAACGCCTGAAAAATTTAGGAGGTGATTTAAAAAGCGAGTTGTGTAGGAAGGAGACGAATGCGTTTAAATGAAGGTCAGTCAAGCCAGAAAGCTCTGAATGGCAACACTACAAAAGACACAGACGAAAATATGAGGACGAAGTGAGGAAAGAATGGGAAACTAGGATGAAAGAAATGAGTTGAAATAATACGCGAGCTCCAAACGAAGCATAGACACGTATAAGCGAATATAAAGAAGAAGAAAAAAAAAAAGTAAACTAAAAGACATGGGAAAAAATTTGTCCATGGCAGTTTAAACCCGGTCACGCCATGAGGATGTTTGAGCCAATCATTAGCGCCAAGTTGACGCTGAACGGGTTTGTCTCCTTTTTCTACCTCGAAAGAATAATAGCATAAACTAAAATATCAGCGGTAGTAAAACAAATCTAAAAAAAAAAAAAAAACAGTAAAAGGTTCCCGTTAACAAGAACGCGACATGAAAAGGTCCTTCAGACCTAAATTCAGATGGAATGTAAATAAGAAATTGCGAAGGAGACACCGAGCGATGGCGCTCGAATTCGCCGGGGGGATGAAGGGTCCCAATAGTCACGCGCGCGAGCATCGCCAAGACGCGAGACAACGTCGCATTCCCGTTCGCACAATGGAGCGCACGGAAGAGGATGCACGGGGACGTATTTTCAGAAGCAAGTCGCCTCGGAAGGAGTCGGGTATTGATTGGGAGAAATAATTAAATTTCAATATGCAACGACCGTATTTTGAAAAGCAGGGAATGAAGAGGTTGTTTCTGCTTTACGGCCCGGAAAGCCCGAATGGAAAGAAAAGTACGTAAATGCCAAACTACTTTTCTTTTTCTTTTTGTAAGAAAACATGTTTATATGCCCAATTCTATGAAGTAAGCATACGCATATGCTTATAGAAACACCGCTGGGAGTGTTTCTATTTGTTTGTTATGGATTTGGCGTACTATAAACGTTATATTCGCACGGAGCTCCGCTTTGCATGAGCTATGTATAGCTTTAAAGTGCATGCTCCGCGCACGTTATACGCGCAAGGTGGTTTCTTTCGCATGACGGCTGCTCTGGCGGCAGTGGCGATTGGCGAGCCCATTCTTAATTTTCAAAGCGCTTACGCTTCGCAGTATTGAATTCGGAGGATGAGAGATTACCATGCAATGTAGAACCTCTACTACCTCCGATTTGGAATTTGAAACCGCCCGAATGTCGCGGAAGCAGACGCGCCAAAATAAACCGAAAGGAAAAAGGGTGCGAAATTTTCACCTTCAATATTTCAGTTTGATGCTTCTAGACCGCAGCAGTTTGTTAGCACTGCCTGTGCTATTAGAATATAGTGAAAGGTTTTTGTCCACGGTTTTATTTCGAGTTGTTCCGGTAGGCAGCCCGTACTAAACTGTCCGCGAGGCATCTACTTACTCCAAGACCACACATCTTATTATACTTCTACTTGTATATGGTCACTGTCATTTCGGCCGATAGTCGCATTACGTCCGAGCGTGCATTACGGCCGGTAGGGGTGGAAGCGGCGGTAGTGGCTTTGAGGCCGATTAGAGCATAACGGCGGAGAACTGCATTAAGGCCGATAGTCCCTAATGCACTGTCGGCCGTACTGCGACCATCGGCCTTAGCGGGATGCTC